TTATCTCAAGAAGTATTATTAAAATCTTTTTTTTTTATTAATAATTTTTTATTATTTAGCAACAAAATCAAGTAGCTGCAACACTTGAACGTGCAAAACAAGTTACAGTTGCTGAATTAAATGCAATTATAGGAGTTAGTTAAATAGATAATGTGATAGATTTAATTAAATTATTTTTTTTTTAGCAACAAATGCATGCACAAGGTGTTGCTTTTCCTCATGCGCATAGTCAAACACCACATTTTGGTGCATCACCTTTTGGTTTACCTGGATCTGCTGGACTTCCACCTGGTCTTCTTGCTTTACAAGGTGTTGCAGCAGCTGCACAACAAGCATATCTTAAAGATGAAAAAGGTTTTTAGGATATTTAGAAAAAGAAAAATTGATTTTGAATAAATTTTAAATTATTTTAGATAATTTAGAACGTGCAGCAGCAGCATTATCACATAAAGTATACAAAATAAAAAATTTTATAGGAAATTTGATTTTTTTTTTTTTATTAGCGTAATGCAAGTTCACCACATCATCTAAATGAAAAATATCGTGGTCATAGTCGTTCACCATTTGAAACAAAAAAACATAAACGTGATGAAGTATGAATTTATTATAAATTTTGAAAGACAAAATAAAAAAATTTTTTTTTTTTCTTATAGGAAAGTGAAGGTGAAAAAAGTGATGGAGATTTAGTTGTTGATGATCCTAACGAGGTAATAAAATTAGGTTTTTTTTTTTGCATAGGACAGTTTTATTGTCTCCGAGATGTTTAACAATCAACAATTATTATTCGATAGATTTAAAAGATTTTTTTAATGATCCGGATCTAAATCCGATATTTTTTCTATCAATACCTGGGTGAATTTCTCATTTGGGAAGGAGCGAGTTCATAAAAGGTTGTATCCGGATCTGCAGTTTCGTACTTTAGAGCCTTTTGTAAAGAGCTCGAGGACAATGAAAATGTATTCATTTTTCCGAGACATTTTTTATTTTAACAAATTTTTTTTTTAATAATTTAGAACGATAAACAATTAATAAATGGTTCTCGTTCACCCCATGAAAATGGTGATTCATCATCAAAAATAAATTCGGCTATACGTAATAAATCATCATCATCACATCATGATGATAATAGTCGAAGTCCCCATAGTGATAATGGTTCAGCACGAAGTACACCTTCACAAAAAGTAAAAAATTTGCAAAATATTTTTTTTATGATAAACAAAAATTTCTTTTAATAGGGTAGTGAAAAAAGTGGTTCAACAGCAGGAATAACAAATACATCATTGAGTGGAAATTCAACAAATAAATCAAATTCACGCAGTGGTATTCGTCATTCACCAAAATTACCTCGTATGTTATCACGTCCTTTTTTAACCGAATTTGTTTCTTAAATAAAAAAATATGATCAGTTTGTGTGTGTGTATTCAGCAGCTGCACCATTTGGACCCTACGGAGCATTCATGCCGGAAAATTTGGCTGCATTTGCTGTTGGTCTCAATACAGCTTTTACTGGAAATTCAACTAGTTCAACACGTAATACATTAAATGATTTTTATTCAGCTATGCGTCTACCACAACAACAACAACAACAACAACAACAACAACAACAATCATTATTAATATCAGCTAATGCAGCAACAAGTGGAAATTTAATTGAACGAAATGGTAATAAACAACATTATTCATATCATTGTGATTCATATGATTCAACATCATCAGCATTACAACCATTTATATTTCCATCGGATACATTTGATACAAATGATTGTCCACGTCGTATAAAAACTTTAAGTTATTTACAACATGGTGATGTTGTTTGTGCAGTAACAATATCAGATTTAAATAAACATATATATACCGGTGGAAAAGGTTGTGTTAAAATTTGGGATTTAAAAGAAAGTACAAAAGATAATAATAAACCAATTGGTCAATTTGAATGTTTGGTAAAAAAAAACAAAATTTTCATTTTATTTAAATAATAAAACGAATTTTTTTTAGAGTCGTGATGCTTATATTCGATCAGTTAAACTTTTACCTGATGGTCAAACATTAATTGTTGGTGGTGAAGCATCAAATATATCAATATGGGATCTTAATTTAACATCATCATCATCGAATAGTACATTAATAAAAGATAGTAATAATTCAAATTCATTATTAACAAAACTTAAAGGAGAATTACAATCAAAAGCAGCTGCATGTTATGCATTAGCTGTATCAACTGATGGTAAATTTTGTTTTAGTTGTTGTTCAGATGGAAATGTTCTTGTTTGGGATATACAAAATCAAACAATTGTTCGGTAAAAATGAAAATTTTTAAAAATAAAAATAAAAAAAAACAAAAATTTTTTTTTGTTCGTTTTTAAGACAATTTCAAGGTCATACAGATGGTGCAAGTTGTATTGATTTAACACCGGATGGTTTACGTGTATGGACAGGTGGTCTTGATAATACAGTACGTTGTTGGGATGTACGTGAAGGTCGACAATTACAACAATATGAATTTGATTCACAAATATTTTCACTTGGTTATTGTCCAACAGGTGGTGATTGGTTAGCTGTTGGTATGGAACAAAGTTTAATTGATATATTAAATGTATCATCATCAACTAAACCAGATAAATATCGTTTAACATTACATGAAAGTTGTGTTTTATCATTAAAATTTGCTCATACAGGAAAATGGTTTGTATCAACAAGTAAAGATAATCAATTAGTTGGATGGAAAACACCATATGGTGCAAAATTATTTGATGTAAGTTAAAAAAAAAAGAAAATTTATGTTTATAAAATAAATTGAATTTTTTTTTTTATTCTTTTAAGAATAAAGAAGGTTCATCTGTATTAAGTTGCGATGTATCTCAAGATGATATGTTTATTGTGACCGGTTCCGGTGATAAAAAAGCGACTTTATATGAAGTTATTTATGAAAGATAAGAATATGTTGGATGAATTACACACATAAATACTGATTTGAAAAAAAGAAAACAAAACATTTTGCCTACATATTTTTTTTTCTGACCTATATATAACGCGTCTATATACAGTGAGTTTGTTTTCTCTGTCTCTCTCTCTCTCTTGTTTTGGGTCAGATATTTCAATGCTGTTGTCATTCTACTATATAGTTTACATATATATATGTGTCAATGTTTACTGTATTTGTAAATAATGTTTTGTATTGTGCATGTGTATATCATATTCTGCTTGCGTTGTGTGAAAAATTACAAGAGAAAAAAGTGACGCGGTTGTTTGTGTTTGTCATCTCTTTTGTGTTTGTAATTTATCTATATATATATACATATATATATATATATAAAACACAGAAAATAAAAAAATATCTGATCTGAGGAAAAAGAAAAGTTGATTTGTTTTATTTAAAGATGTAAATCGAGCGGCTGAGTCGCCGCCGAAAGTCTTTTAAAATTCTCAGTCATTGCACAAAAAATATATTCAGGTTTCACATATTTTGAACATTGAGGATCAACTTTCATGAATGTTCTTACCAACAAAAATCTGTTTTTTGTGATTTAGAATTAATTAAAATAAAAATGAAATCTATCTTTAAACCTGAAAACTAATTTTTAATCGACTCAATCAATATTTTTAACCTATTTTATTAGCATTGTTTGATATAGTAATCCGCACTGTGACATGTCTATCAAAGAATTCTAGCGTTGTATTTATCATTTGCTGAGCCGAGAAGTCTAAGGAACCAAGCCTCGAAACAGCCCACCCGGCCCGACGATTTTATCCTTTTTTGATATTTGACTCACCTCTGAGGAGGAATAGGGGAAAAGTTTCCGTGCTCCCTCTAGTCATCATTTTTTTTCTAAAAGACGAAAAATATGCAATAGCTCTCCATTGAGAAAAAAAAATCTTTGTAAACGAAATCTTTTTTCGAATTCGAGTCGGAGAGTCTAATCGAATGTTCGGGCCATAAAAAAGTAGCCCGATTTTGAGGTTTGTAAGGAACTATTCAAAAATTTGAGTTTCTAAATAAAAATTCGAGAAAACGTACTTTATGGTAACCGTGATTAAAATCGATCAGAAATTGAATAATCTGATTTTAGACTAAAATCATATTTTTTTTCTTACTGATCTATACAAGATGATGTAACTCATCGATGGATTACGGCAAAAAATTTATATATCTCAGTTTTGTTTTAAATAAATGAACTATTTTCGTTTTAATGATTTAGAGTGTAAAGAAGAATATTCAGTAATCAATATTTAAAAAATTAATAGATATATTCATCGAATATATGTTGAACAGAGTATATTTTTAAGATAATATACATCTAGAGTGGAGGTCTATTGTATATAAAGGAAAAATTCATAAGTCGAATAAAACATTACACCGTTTTCGATCAAAAGTTAAGCTTAATATTTATTAAACTCTCAAGGAAAATGTGTTGCTATATGTCGCATTCATTAAGATGTAGGACTTATGGTATTAGAATCAGCTTTGTCAGAGGATATCCAAATTGTCATATTATTATCATTTGAATAATAGATAAAAATATTCTATACAAAAAAAACTGTTCAGTAATGTTTAATTCTCAGTCTTTCATAGCAATAAAATACAACTTAAAAATTTAACATTGAACAAGAAATAAGATTTCTTTTTCTTTTGTCTAATTTTTCATACATATTCATAATAACATATCACATGTGTGGCATGTTTCATGTGACGGTTGTAAATACGAAAAAGAAAATAAGTTGTTGTTAATAAAAATTTGATAAACGGGAATTTTTTGTTCTAATGAATATTCTTTTGTCTTAAGATTAATAAAAACAACAA